TTCGAACTTCCATTATCAACTTGCCAAATAATCCGTCTATACATTCTTTGCGCAAACACATATGAGTATATCTGAACAAACAATTCTTTTTTTGAATTTTCTATCCTCACTTATCTCATCACAACTGGATTACACCATGAAGAGCCTTCTATACATTAACATTTACGTTATCTTGTACACATCCTATATAGGTAAGAGATTCGTCCCCATTATATGATCAAGTAGGTCCACTAAATAGGTGATCCCCACTAACTCAGTTATCTTAACATGTAACGATGCCAATCCCTCACCATGCTATCATGCATGCCCCTTTAGAATTAATTGTCTCGACATGCAAATACGTCAACTCACCATATCTTATGCATGGAAAACTCACATTAAAAATCTACCAGAACATCCAACCATGCATGGGATTTTTTTTCCATTTAAGTATTGTAATTATATTCAATAAATATTGTTACAACCATACAAGTCAAATATAATAAGTACTATGTATTTTTAATATTGATTCTCATGTTATAAACCTAAATTTTTATCAACCAATTTCCGCAGCAACACGCGAGGTATCCTCTAATTGTCACAACAAAGGAACCAGAAAGGGATGTGTTAGGAACATCATTATTTTCTGATACACTCCCTCCGTTCCTAAATGTTTGTCTTTTCATAGATTTCAAATGGACTACCACATACAGATGTATATAGACATATTTTAGAGTGTAGATTCATTCATTTTGATCCGTATGTAGTCACTTGTTGAAATCTCTAGAAAGACAAATATTTATGTACGGAGGGAGTAGAAGCTATAATGAAAAAGGCCTTTGCTCGCAGCAACTAATTTGTTGTTGGTGAAATGGGCACAACCAGTTCAACCGACATGATATCCAAACAGAATTCTAATTATATGTTGCATATATGAGAAATGGGCACAACCAGTTCAATCGATTAAATTTGGGCACTAAGGTCAGTTTTCTATTCCTTGTGAAAAAACTAAAAATTAAAATACAATGAAGATTCTTTATGACGTAACTCATCTGGGATGCCCAAGTTAGTTGACGTAAGAACAAGTTGACATTTCTAACAGTTGACTTCACATCACTAACCTAGATATCTACATCAGCTGTCCTTTAGTTTGATAAATTAACCTGACTAGCAAGCTTCCGATGTGCATAACAGAATATCCCTCAACAATGTAATTCGTTCTGACTTCTGAATCCTAATTCATGAACTACGGTACGACGAGGATATAATGTGCAAAGTAGGTCTTAAGAGAGATGAGGTTGCCATAACTATGTGGAGAACTCCAGTTTATTGCCTGTTAGCACCATCAATGGAGAAGTTCTAGCCGAAGCTGGTTGCATTGCACCCATGGTGAACAGCAAAATTTGAACAAAATGCATTTTTTTATGAAACTTATTGGATTTGAAGATGCAAAAATGTTTTAGGTGCTTGCAAAATTTGAAGGCGAAATGAGACCTGAGGGGCTCCTGACAAAAGGAAAACAAAATGAGTGCCCAAAAGTTCGAGCACTAATTTGATTTTTTGTCACAAGGTCCACAGATGACATTCCGACATACAAAATTCAAGCACCTTAATAAATTTGTGCACCTTTGAAGGCACAAAATGTGAGAATTTTACTGTTCATCAATGGTGCAATGCACCCATGTTTTCAAAAGCCCTTTAATTATTCCTTTTATCTCGCATAATTGGGTGGTTTTGTAAGCAAATCTGGCCGAAATTCTTGCATTGCCCCGTACTATATACACGATGTTCCGGCTGTGCACCCATGTTTTCAAAGATCGGGCCTCTTGTTCCTCCCAAAGAGTGAAGGAAAATTTCAATGACAGCAAACAAACGAGACTGTTGTACCTCATTTATTTTAACAAAAATCTCCATCAATCATGAACTCGCATTAACACTTCGACCTGGAACCTAAACATATAAATCGGACGCACTGACATGCTGAAGACATCCCAGACCATAACACACACACACACACACACACACACACACACACACACAAATCGTGGATGTTTTTTTATGCAAGCACCCATCAGATGCATGGAAATATGTTCAGACCTATGGTATGCACCTACACGCGCAGGTACATATCAATCTTGAGCACCGCGTTCCTGGTGGTGGTGTTGGCGGAGTGTGTCCGGAGCAGACCGTACCCGGTCGCACCACGGAGCCCGCCAGTGCCGCCCACGATCGGGAGCTCCCTGACGGTATCGAAGATGACGTCCCTTGAGAGCACGGCCACAGAGCTCCCGTTATGGCTCCCTGCCGTGAACACGAAGTTGGCAGTGAGCAGCAGCGCGTACTCCGTCATCGACGCGAACTGGAAGAAGCCCTGTGCCCTGCCGACGGCGGGGGACGCTGCGTCCGGCCCCTCCGTCAGCAGGTCGTCGATGACATACATGTCACCGAAGTGGGTGGTGGGGTCGTTGGCCAGCGGCACCACACCTTTGATGACTTGCACAGCTGTTGCTGGAGTCGACGGCCCGCCAGTGATGATGTCATGCATGTAGAACTTGAGGTGGATCGTCTCCGTTGCATCTGCTGATGCCCTAAGGACAAGGGCTAGAGCGAAGACCAAGGCTGGTAGGAGCTGCATGGTGTGCTTGATGGCCATGGCTTGTACTAGGATGTATTGGACATATGTGCATGAGCTGATTCTATGGTTACACGCTCTGCCTCGTACCCTTTATATAGGAAAACTGGAAAGGACCCGGCGGCAAAGCAGCCGGGAACGTGCGCCCATGTTAAGTGCATTCATTTTTACACAAAGGTGTATTTGAGTCTCATCTTTCTAATATTAAAAAAAAGAACAATAATTGAATAGTGCATCTACTACGGGCAGCCATGATGAGGTGGACGGTGAATTAGAGCGCAAATGATGAGGAGGCATCTATGTAAGTTATGTGAAGTCAACTGTTGGGCATGTCAACTACTTGGGCAGCCATGATTATTGATGAGTTACATCATTAAGAATGGGCCCTGTATTTTTCGTACAAGGAATAGGGAATAGCCCTAGTTCCCGAGTATAATTGATTGAACTGGCTATGTCAACCTGAGATGCAATGAGATGGTGGATAGATGCAGATGAAGCCGCCATGCTCGAGCCAGGAAGACACATATATATGCTGAGCCGCTGAGAAGCTAAGGCCAACTTCAACTCGGATAAAATCCACGTCTGTTTGGGTTGCCACGTTGGAGTTGGCCTAAGGCACAAGTGTACATATAAGCCCACCAACGTCTCTCTGACTGGCAATGATGGAAGTGAAATTTGAGCAACAGTATTAAGAATAGTGACATTTACATAACTTTCTAGGTGATGATCATTTCGTGGTACTTTCTGTAGTAGCTTTTATTTATTTATGCTCTGCAAATAATCTTACTGTATATATAATACTCCCTACGTTTCAGTTTACAAGTCCTATGCGTATATCTAGGTTGCCGATTTTATCACCCTAATATAAATTATATAACACAAAAAATATTCCTTTTGAAAATAGAGCATCTGAAGTTTATATTGACATATTTTTTGTAATATATGAATTGTATTAGGTGGGTCAAATTGACGACCTAGTGGTACACGCACGCCCTGTAAACTGAGAGAGAGGGAGTATGCTAAATCTTCCCAATGAGATTGAAGTACTCCATTCCCTCCGTTACATAATGTAGTGTGTATAGATTTTTTGCAAAGTAAAATTTGTCAAACTTTGACCAAGTTTATAGAGAAAACAGTTTATATCTACAATACCAAGTATATAAGATATGAAATTAGATCTTATGTTGAATCAATGATATATGTTTGCCGTTCTGAATGTAAATATTTTTGTCCACAAACTCGGTCAAACTTGGTCAAAGTATCTCCCCAATGAGGTTTGACTTTTTAAAAAGTCTATAGGGACAACATTATGGGACGGAGTGAGTATTCCATAGCATTTAATTTAATGTATGCAAGCTATTAGTGTTATGTTCTATGTGATACTTTCATGTGTTGAATGTTCAAAACCTTTTCATCTTATTCTGGTGCATGATTCAAGGTAACAACTTTGTATACTCAAAACTTGATCGATATTGGTTTATTTGGGGATCAAATAATCATGTAAGTTTGTTCAAATATTGAATTTATGTGTCAATGTATTTGAATGGACTTTTCCAATGCTCATGGGTATCTCTTCTATAAGTTGAGTTGCCGGTGAGCTTGGGCAATCGTAGTATGTAGGGCCAACTTCAAGCCGAACAAGTGAAACCGATGTGGAATGCGGGTCAACGAATATCTTTGTTACATCATACGGTTTCATCCAAACCTTTGCTATGTTGGGTTGCTCGATGCACAAAGTACATGGTAACCTAGGGCAGTAAACTCAAACTTACTCCAGGTGGGCTTGGATGTTGGAACGGTCAATCAAATAATAGGATTAGGATTTAGAGATGGGAATGACGTAGGGCGGCTGGATACGATAATGCTCCGCTGTTCATTAACTCATATATTTTCAACCCAAAGAGCTGGTTGGCCGGCTTCTGAAACTAGCATATGTATGGAGGAGGTGCAAAGGTGCTCGATGTACAGATCAATAGTCAACCATGCCACAGACCATGATTTAAAACCCGCTCGCAGATAAGCGATTTGTGTAAGAACACACTCTGATCCATCATTAATGTTGTTTCGTCTTTTATGGACCCATGGGATGCTGACAGATATAAACAAGTGTATGTGTCACCTCGTACGTCAACTCGGCGAGCTTACATTAATAGTAGTATCATGTCTCTGTGAAGGTCAACTTTCAATGAACCTGCAAATAGGCTTATAGTATACGCTTCGTTTGTTCTTTCTCGTACAATGCCTAGAAGGTAGTAGTCGCCGCCTGATAAATTAATATTACAACTTTGTCAGCTGCTTCTTAATCTAACCTCTTGGTACTAACAAGGAAATGTACAGCTAGAATATATTGTGATATTGAGCCGGCTTGTTTGGCTGTATGCCCCTTCGACGCAGATGCTGCAGGGGAACTCTACAGCTATAAACTCATTTGTTTGTCTTGATTGATTGCTTTTCTACAGACATGTAGCTTTGGTGTTTGTAACCCGCAGTGGCCTGCCAATTTTCACACATTAAATTCTTATGTGTAAATAACGATAAAATAAGCACATCAAGTTCGAAACATGACTGCCCCAACAATTACAACTTCTTATTAGCTCTCCATTTAATGTTTGAGAGAGCCTGGTTAAGTGTTTCCATGTCCTATGGAGATTGCTAGCAGATACATATGGCGAGGAACACCTCAATCCTCATGCAGATGAAATCTGTTGCGACCATCTATACAGCTCATATGGCTTCGGTTTCAAGAAAAGGATCAATTTTAACACAAGACCTTGTATCCCTCCTTTATTAATAAGATGAGGTAAATCTTTGGCCTCCGTTTAAAATAATAATAATCATCTAGGTTTGTTCAAATATTAAATATATGTATCAATGTCTTTGAATAGACTTTTCCAATGCTCATGTGTATCTTGTCTATAAGCTGAACTGAGCCTGAGCTTGCTATGATGGTAGTATGTAGGGCCAACTTCAAGCGGAACAAGTGAAACCGATATGGAATGCGGGCCAGAGAATATCTTCGTTACATCATATTGTTTCAGGATTTCATCCAAACCTTCGTTAAGTCGCCTGGCTCGATGCACAAGGGAGGTCTAAGTTTATTGTTCGGTGGTAACTCAGGCAGTAACCAGTAAATTACTCTAGGTGGGCTTGGATGTTGGACCGGTCAGTCAAATTATAGGATTACGCTTCAGAGATGGTAATGACGTAGGGCGGCTGGATACCACAATGCACCCTGGCATCATCAGTTCACCTCCACCTCTCTTTCTCCATCGGCTCCACTGGTCATTAACAAGGAGGCTAGCACATATGTATGGAGTATGTGCAAAGGTGCTCTATGTACAGATCCATCATTAACGATGCTATTAAAAACGCGCTCGCAGATAAGAGATTAGGGTAAGCACACACTCTGCTCATCATTAATGCTGCATCTTTTATGGTGAGATGCTGACAGATATAGGTCCTGTTTGGTTCATAAGTCCTATGACTTTTTTTAGTCCCAACTAAAAAGTCCCTAGTCCCTAAAAAGTCCCTCCCTGTTTGTTTCTAGAGACTAAAAAGTCCCTACTCCCTTCCTAGAGGTTATTAAATGACCATGTTGCCCCTAGTATATAGAAAAATAACAGTCAAACAACACCATGGGGTAGCAGGCCAATGAATGCATGGAGGGGCATTGTTGGAAAAGTCCCAAAAAGTCCCAAAAAGACTCTCCTTAAGAGTCTTCTTCATTTAGTCCCAAATGCCTAGTTTAGTCCCTAAAAAGTCCCTCCCGTTTGGTAAAAAAGTCTTTAAGAGAGACTTTTTCTAGTCCCTACACAAAAAGTCCCTGGAAACAAACACCCCCATAAACAAGTGTATGTGTCACCTCGTACATCAACTCAGCGAGCTTACATTAATACTAGTACCAAGTCTAGGTGAAGGTGTACTTACAATAAACCTGCACATAGGCTCATATTATACGCTTGCTTTATTCTTTCTCGTACGATGCCTAGCAGGTAGTAGTCGCCGCCTGATAAACTAATACTACAACTTTGTCAGTTGCTTCATAATCAAACATCTTCGGACTAACAAAAGAAATTTACATTTATAAATATATGTTATATCCAGCAAGCTTGTTTGGCCGTATGCGCCTTCAATGCAGTGACTGGATCGGAATCTCGTTCTGTGACAAAGATACATGACAAAGAATCAACAAAATCATCGAATTCCAGTAAACAAAAAAGAAAAATGCTGGCTTGCGAATGACTATATCTCCAATCATTTTATTTCCAATTGAGACGCCAAGCAAAATTAGGTAGCTATATTGCATTTCTACAAGCATGTAGCTTCAATGTTTAGCCTAAGCACCAGCCTACCAATTTTCACACATTAAATTCTTATGTGTAAGTAACGATAAAATAACAACATTGAGTTTGAAAGATGACCGCCCCAACAATTATAACTTACTGTTATCTCTCTGTTTAAAGTTTTAGAGAGACTGGTTCAGGGGTAGTTTCATTACCGCAATTTTAGAGTTCTCGCTTTACCATGTTTGGGTACTCTATCAAATCCACGTGTTAGTAAATTTGGTTTAGCATAAACTCACAATTTCGCGTTTATGGAACAACCACTAATAGTCGTTGTTGCACAAACTCATTTTCGGTGAACTAGACGAATCAAATGCGCCGCTAGTCCATTAACTCGAATCGATTGCACACTTTAGGCTAACAACTCAAAAGTAATTGATTTAGGACATAAACTCATTTATTTCATCAAATAAGGCCAAAACTGATTGAGGAGGAAAAACTTTGCCACGTGGCAGCCATGTCAGCGTACATTTGACTGCTCGCGAACTAACTAATTTTTTACAAGGATCTTTTCGCAAACTGTATGTCACAACGATGTATCAAGGAATAGAAAAAATAGCAAGGACAATTAGGACTCGAACTCACAAGCTAGGGTGTGAAAAAGTCATTGCTGGCCAAAAGATTCTTGCCCTGTTTTGTTGCTAAGTTGCAGAAGACCCTTTATATCAATTTTACTTT